CCTCTCAGATTTCATCAAAAATATCTTAATTTGTGTTCTGAATATGAATGAAGGTCGTACAGGTTTGGAACAACATTAGGGTGAGTAATTCATGACAGAATTTTGATTTTTTTTGGGGGGGTGAACTATCACATTAACATTGATTGCAACAGTTTCTGATGTAATTTATTGAGTTGCAGTTTAAAGCCTTTGAACACAGGATATGTTTGTCCACCCTGAAAAGTTAAAGGGATAGTTAAAAAAACAAAAAAACAAAAAAACAAAGCCAAAACAATTGATTATGGATGTGTTCCACTAAGGACCTGCATGCGGCAGTAGCGTGCGATGTATGCAAGAGAACTGGCGGCACGAAGAAAAAGACGCTGCCGTTATCCTCATGTCCGTTTCCTTCGAGTTCTTATGAAGTAAACAGTCAAATATTCATGTTTTAATGTGTTTGATTTAATTATTGGGATTTCATATTTGATTACTGAATAGGAAAAACACACAACGGTAAGTGTATTCTTCTATGGATCTCTGTGAACATGACGAATAAAGCGGCTGTGAAAAACGATTCATAGATATAGATTGTATTGCGTACGTCAGGTATTTATCACTCAATCGTTTATCGTCATATCACGCGATTTTAATCCCGTACTCACGTTTCTTCATAGTGTGGAAAGACTTGGTTGAAATCCAGCTGGAAACCCTGTGTAAACTTTAGTGGCTGATATGCTAATTTAAAGACAATGCTTGTTTGAATTAAATGTTATCTTCAGATGATATCAAGGCGTTTGAAATTATAAGTACCAACCTGTGTGAACGTCGAGCATCCTACTAGCCGTTCACACACGAGAAGTGTTTAAACGGTTTCTACTTTCATAAGCAGGTAATTCCTTTGCTGGCCATAGATTTTGAGGATTGCAGTATCAAAATCTAGAAAGACACCTTCCTGAATTGATTTAGTGGGCAGTTTGTTTTAATTAGTGTGGACTTAGCATGTTTAGTCTTTTTGCATCCTTTCACCCATCTTCCAAAAAAACTGCTTGTCCAGTGTTGGGTAGCAAGGATGCTGGAGCATCTAGGGCCAAAGTCAGGGAAACACCCTGGACAGATGGCCAGTCCATCACAGGGCTAACACACATATTACACATTCAATTTCATCTATCCTTTTATGTCATTGGATTGTGGTGTTAAACTGGATGGATTACCTGCAGAAAACCCAAATCAACACAGAGAGAACATGCAAACAGAGTTTAATTTCGTTCAACTTTGTGTATGGAACACACTGAATTTTAAATAATTATTTATCGATAATATGGACTACTTATTCATCTGTTTCAGCCATGTGACATTTTCTGCTCATCTGCAATCTGCCATATTTATGATCATCAAACACATGAACAGAAAGACAAAGAAAAAATATTGATCAGTGGATTCATCCGTACCAGGTCCACAAAGACATTTTTACATCCCTGTTATAAGACAAAGGCTACACTCTAAAAAATGCTGCGTTCTTTTTTTAAACCCAAATGCTGGGTTCAGCCCGTTGGGTCATTTTATTGGTTTGTTTTTAATATTTTTACCCAGGTGCTGGGTAGTTTTTCTGTAACTAAGCTGCTGGGTCATTTTTGTCTACCCAACCGCTGGGTTGACCCTGTCTCTGACGAAACAACCCAGCTGCTGAGTTACAGTCAGAGTGCGGGCTTTTTGCGTCCACTGCAGGATAGTAGGGCCTTTCGCACCGCGGGAACCTTTTCATAGTACCAGAACTAATTGTGGAACTACCCACTTTTTGGCATTTTGGGATTTTAGTACCGGACTGCCTTTTTCGAGAACCAAATTAGCTCCTACTCCGGAGCAGGGTCTAACCAGCACAACTGGTACTAATCGTGACGTAAGTAGACATTGAT